CTTGAGATCTATTTAAATGTCCATGTTTTACTTTTAAATTTATATATGATATTTGTGAAAGGTGACCGACCGTTTTTACATGCTTATTTGAGTTTAGAAGAATTTTTCTACAGAGCTTAGTGCTCACCCCCTACATACAAACATTTTTCAGATTATGTCCTAGAGGAGGATCTTGGAGGCAATGAGTGGGTACCTTAGGAAACTCTGACATAAAGGAGTATGGATTCCGAGGTGGACGCCTAGAGCGACTTTACATTTTGTTCTAGACTGGATGATTCGTGTTAAACATTGTGAAGTTTAGTTTTCTCTTGTTATTCCGCTGCACTATAATAGTTGAATTTTTGAGATGTAAGCACCATAGTATGCATATTCTTTTTGGGATAATATTGTAAATTTTAGGAATGATGAATGAAGTTTTATTTATTTATGGATTATATTAGTTGCTCTTATGATCTGAATGGTTTCAAATGGTAATGTCGTCTAAGGTAGTTTTTGGGGCGTTGCAGATTAAGGTATTTACGAGGGATAAATTTTTCATGGTCTTGTCTCAAAAAATTATCAAAAATCGAATTCATGACGTCGGAGTTTATAATTCGTCCATATTATCACTTAAGTTACCTTTGGGATTCACTTGAAAGTCTTTGCAATTCATGTTCATGTCTCTTATAAGTATGTGAAAAAATACGAGAGGTGACATTTTTTTTTTGTGTGCCTCGGTTGGATCGTACACTTGCACAATTTAACAAAAATTTAATGTGGAAGCTTTGTAATGTCTACATCGAATAATTACAATTAATCTTAAGTCAAGAAGGTTGTTTCATAATTTGATCTTCAATGATCAACCAAGGGTGGTTATAAATGTCTAATGAATCCTTGGCACACATGCATGCTAGGGCCTAGGAACATAGTTTTAAAACTCGCCCTGGACGTCAACCAGGTAAAGGGACCGGGTTAACGAGTCACTGGTTCAACCGTTGGATCACTGGTCGGACCGGTAATATAATAAAAATTAAAAAATAATTATAAATATTAATAAATAAGCTAAAAAATCATAATAATTATAAAAATAACGTCAAACATGTAAAGAAAAATTACCAAACATGTATCCAATTTCACTGTATTCAAACTGATAATGCAAGAACATTAGATTTCTAGAAATAGAAATCAAAATGCATTTCTTGATCATAGAGTCTTTAGATTGGGGATCTAACAAATAAAAATTATTTAGTGACACTACTCAAACAGAGTCAATTTGAACAAACCCATTTTGATTGTTGTACAATGTGGTGCAAAAAATCCAAGAATAATGTGTCAAGAAAATAGAGAACTAGTATATCACAGAACTCTCTCTCACATAAACTACAGATACAGGAACACACACACACACACATATGTATATATATACATATAGGTGGAGAGAGAAGGGGGAGTGAACTCACCTCGTCACTAGACTGGAGGCTGGACTGAAGGTTGTGCTTAGTCGTTGGAGTCGTTGCTTAGTCGTTGGTGCCTCATGGAGCTGTGCTCAATCGATGTTGCCTGGTGAAGTCGTTGCTTAGTCGTTGGTATCTGAATTGGAGTCGCTGCTCACTGGTGGAGGCTGGAGCTGGACTGTGCTCAATCGTCAATGGGGGTGGAGGCTGAGCTCAATCGTTGGTTGGTGGTGAAGGTTGTGCTCAGTCGTTGTCGCTGATGTCTGGTCAGGTGGATCGATTTAGGGCAAAACAAAAGGGGAAAATGCCCAAATGATGAAAAGTATCTCGCATTTATACAAATGAAGTGAAACTGGCTGGTTTGGTAAACTCGTCTGGTTCTCACAGATTTACCGGATTTTGACTGATTCAACGAGTTTATCCCGGGTTCTTTGCATAAACGGTCTTTTATTAGAATTGACCCAGTTAGGGGACCAGTTCACCAGGTTGACCTGCCGGGCCAGACCGGATTTTAAAACACTGCCTAGGAAGACTTTGCTTTTCCCCCAAAAAATATATATTTTTTTAGGTACACCAAACCTTTGAGACACTTGACAGTTCTTACAGCTCTTGTTCATGATTCCACCACTGTGTGAAAAAAACAGGAGATAACATTTTTCTTGATTAATTACTGTTTCTCTAAACTCGAGAGTTGTTACCCAATTTGTAATCAACCGCGGATGTAATTGAATATATAACTAACTTTTTATACTTTCTATATTCTTCATATAAATTGTTTACCCTAAAAATCGACCTCATAACCTAGCTCATAGCTGTTAATTTCATAGTATTAAACTACTTAAATCAAGCTAGCAAGAAGTGTGGGTGTAGTTGTTGCTAAACATTGGAATACTTCTAGTGGAAGCAATGAATACTATCTACATACCGGATATATTCTATATGTTGGAGGAGAAAATATTCTATGCAACGGTGATAACACATACATTATTGCTTACACGCATTACTAAATATTTATAAAATAAATATAATAGATTATTGAATTCCATTAAATAAATAATTAATACCGGATAAGGTGATTGCTAGTGTTCATTAGAATCGTAGGTTCAGTAATCTTGATTGATATTTTATAATTAATTGATTATGTCACTCTATATAGCATTACTTGAGTTTATACCGAATAGCATTAGTAATTTATACAATAAAGTAGCTTATAAATATCAGAGTAAGGTGTAAAAGACTTCTTGTACATACCTAAGATATTACATTGTTCTTCGTAGATCCCTCTCATTCAATTGTCTTGTGAGACTTATGTAATCTTTGATATTTTTTTTATTAATTTCTGTTTGGTAAGTTACTCACACAATAGTTATAAGAGCTCATTTATATATAATTAATTTTATTTTTATAAAAAATAATAAAAAATAAATATATTAAAATTGATCTCAATCTAACCAGAAATATTATTGAATTGTTTATGAGAGAAGTCATGAGTCTTTAATTAATCTTAAAATATTATGATTAATTATAAAATTTATAGTTTTTAAAAATAAAATTATATTTTTTATAAATGTTATCATCTGAGAATTTTTTTTGGATTTCTTATTTTATCTCTAATTATTATAATAAAATCAATTATATATATACTTCATATAATTTATATTTTTGTTACATCTATTTTCTGAATTAATTGCATATTAATCTAAATATTGATGCATTTGCTCTTTTTTTTTTTGTGTGTGTGTTATACGTTGCCTTTAGCCACGAGCATTTGCTTGCGATTTTTTTGTTTGTTCTATAGAGCTTTTAAGTACGGATGATTGCTAATATATATATATATATATTTTTTTTTTTCTCTTCTTAGAATAGTTTAACTAATAATATTTAGGGTTAATAGTACTTTTGGTCTCTAAAACATATATTTTTTGTCAGTTTAGTTCTCATTATATCAATTTTATTAATTTGAGCCTTAAAATATTCAATTCGTGTCATTTTAATCCCTACATAAACGAACTGTTAAGTTTTTGACAGAATAATTATAGTTGGGCATATGATACTTTCTAAAAAAATAACACATGATCATTTTCGTAAAAAAACTTAAGAGATTGTCTAATTAGGGACCAAAGTGACACAAATTGAATACTTGAGGACTTAAATTAAAAAAATTGATAAGAGATTGTCTAATTAGGGACCAAAGTGACACAAATTGAATACTTGAGGACTTAAATTAAAAAAATTGATACAATGAGAACTAAACTGACAAAAAATACACACTTTAAAGATAAAAAATGTTATTAACCCTAATTTTTATAGGTGTTTATAACTTTTCTGGAATCAATGGATAGAAATTATATGTATGGGCCTAATGTGTAAGGGGTTATATAATTTGATGGAATGAGGCTTGAGTATCTAGTATGCATTAGTGATACCATGAGTCTGCACTTCAAGTAGCTAAGAATGAAATGAGAAACTCCTTTAAGTTTAACTCCATCACGTGTATCTTTCACAAACTACGAAAGGATTAATTTGTTCATTGTATATATCATGAGTTTTTTTGGCCTCTATATACCATGAGTTTAACACTAAGAATTGTGATGTTTTTTGGACATGTTTGTCAGATTATTTGAGCCAGGGTTTGCAGTTAATAGTGTAGAATCATTTGTTCATCAGCTAGAATAATATTAGAAACTAACAATAGCATTTGAAGTTTCTTCAACAAACGCTTGCATCCATCCAAGTTCTGGTGATTGACCTAGTCAACATTGTTTACGAAGTGTTCAAACTAATTGTTGGTTTTTCTCATATGATATTGCAAACGCGGAAACCCACATCAGAAGTCATTGCTTTAACGCACTATGATGGTCCAAGAAAAGCAATTAATCTTAAGAGAATCAAGAATTACCAAGATTAATCTTAATCACATGAGATTGCAAGAAAAAAGAAGAAGGTAATAATGGCATTACCGTGAAACATACAAAGGTAAAACCTTGAGATCTTTTGTAATGGTGGAAAAGATCTCCTTATTAGTAGTGTTGGTTTTTTTTATGGAGTCTAGTTTGTATATGCGATCCGGATGATGACCCGACCCGAAATAATGTTGTGTGGTTTTTAATGGAAAATTTTCTGAGGCTTAGTCCATGGAGCGAAGGCTTGGGCCGATAGGCCCAAGCCGTAGCACTCATGGACAAGCCTCGTGGGGGTTCGGGGGCAACGCCTCCGAGGAAAATTTTTCTGAGCCCGTTATACAGCCCAGTGCGTAGGACATATAAACCCTGTTGTTTTGGTGATTAGGGTTAATTGTGGATTGTACAGCCGCTCTCTGTATTCAACTCTCTCAATAGTGAAATCCCTGCAGCTTCGTGGACGTAGGCAAATTGCCGAACCACGTAAAATCTGTGTCTTGTTCTTTCTTGTTTCTTATTGCTTGTGTGTGTTTGTTAGTGGATTTAAATCGTGTGGAATCCCAACAAGTAGCTACTTCAAACACTCGTTTGAAAACTACTCTTACAGCTCAAAAACCTAATTGTGATGCAGAAACATTTTCAGGATCATAGGTTCACTGAGACTGATTTAATCATTTATGGCAAACTTGAGCTGGTCTTGCACTTCTCTCACCAGCTTCACTCCTTGCTGCAACAGCGCTGCTCCTCTGACAGCTTTTTGGGTAATGGTCTCGAACTCAAAATTTGAATCATGACCTTTGAGAAGCTTCAAGATATACGCGGAATCAGATATCTCAAGACCAACCTCAAACGTTGGCTCCATTCTTGTCAGTTGGCTCAGGCGATTGTGAAGAATAGGCTGCAGACGTGCCCGCAAGTCTTGGAGAAGTTCACTTGTTGTGGGACGATGAAACAATCTGCGTCCCCGAGCAATGACCAAGTCCATAAAATCCTGATCTCTTTCACTGTTGGAATTCTCTTGAACTGTATCTGTTGTACGCAGTGCTAGGAGAGATGAACAAGTAAACAAGTGTAAGTAAAACCAGAGATGCACCAAATATTTATTTCTGAGAAAAGCCATTTGATAGCACCAACTAACAGAAACCTTAAAATCGAGCATTAGCAAATATAAAAGGCCTAACAAAGCCCTTTGTTAAGCGTTTTAATTAAGGACTACAGTACTACACTTGTTTTGGAAAACAACTGACATAGGCTAATAGCTTCTCTGCGAGCAAAGCAGTGATAGCGAATTATGAAAGATAGCAATGTGCTTTTGAGCGTAATATTCCAACTCTTACCCACTGTCAATGGTGTTGTTGCTAATCCACTGGCCGATAAATCCAGCTTGTTGGGAAGAGGAAGACTCTTCTTTACCACGTGATTGGAGCTAGTGGGTGTCATGGAATCTTGAGAGGAAAGAGCAGATGATGGGGAATCAGTGGAATGCAAGGCTGGGGAATTGATCCGGCCAGCTGGTTTAGATGGGGGCGATGGGGTCAAATAACCATCAATTGCTTTCGGCTTTTTGTCCTTGGGGTCATCACCATTGTCCAACGAAGGTGAAGATTTATACGCAAAAGGATTCTCGAAAACAAAGGTGTGAGTTTCTTCATCATTGTAGGAGATGGAGTCAGGACCTCTCTTCCTCTTGTGGTCAGGTAAATGGAAGTTTGCCATAACAACTGGGTAAAACAAGCACCTTGGTATGGTATATGTTGTATACTTTCTCCTCAACCAAGACGAACATCTCGTAGGTCAACTTTATAGTTGATGAATCTTCCCGGCCACGACGTCTAAAGAATAAATAATAATACTATTTGAATATAAAATTTTGATTTTATTTGTTGTTCTTATGACATTTAAACTGACGATTGGTCTCATTAAATACAGTAATGCTACACTGACCATTAAATATTAAAATTTACTCTTTATCCAATGATTTTAACAAAGCTACATTGTCGTGTTAATAAATAAGGCCAAAATTTTAAGCCCAAATACCATTAGTTTGAATGCTCTTTCTTAGGAAGAATTTGGGAATTTATATCTTCCAAATGCTATATGCAATTCTTAAGGCTTCCATGGTAATTAATACAACATTATACAAAATGATTGGAAAGGAAAAGCTCGCATCAACTCAGTCAAAAAACTGTGCTTGACAACTACAGTTTATGATATCTGAAGGGAAAAGAATCAAAGAATTTTTAACAATGAATTCAAGAATCCTGTATATATCTAACAGAATCATCCTCACTACTATAAGATATAGACTTGTCTCATTGAAATTTGAGAACACCCCTAGCAACAGGAAACTAGCCCTTGATTGGAGGATACCTAGCTCTTGTTTTGGTACATGAGGATAAAATTGTTCTTTTTCAACTATATAATTTAATCTGTGAGAGTTACTGTCACTTAAACAACACCCTTTCCAGATTTAATTTTCTTTTTTGATCATCTCATATTAAGATTTGTAGGCTGTTGTAACTTGATTTTAACACTGCAGCTTTTGCTTTACTATAAAACTCATTCATTTACCAAAAAAAAAAATGAAACTATATTTTGGGTAGGTATACCAAACACCTTTGAGATTAACGAAATTACTTAATACAAGCCACCTTCACGACTCTTATTAATGTGAATGGAAAAGACAAGAGGCTAGGTAACATGTTTATTTTACCATGCATGCATGTCTCATTGAATTTGTCAAACACTTTCATAATCTTACCAATGTGAAAGCTGACTTTATTAACGACCTTACTGATTAATTACAAAGCTGACTTTATGTATTTTACCATGCATGCATGACTTTCATGGGTGTAACTGTTTATAGTTAGCTAAGTGCTTTGACTATAGGAGAGAGACTTTTCATCAATTTGTGATGCCATATAATCCAAATAAATCTCACAAAATTATAATTTAAATGCATATCGTTTTTTGGATGAGTGGATTTCATCAACTTTTTTAATAGGACCCACTCATCCAACGTTCATCCAAAGAATGATATGCATTTGAGTTATAATTTTTGAGTCTCATATAAATAGTATAACATTTTCCTTTCATAAAATCCAAGAATTATAATATTCAAGTCTATATGAACTCCAAGCAACTTGGTCATTATATAATGAATGATGACTTTTGAGTGTCGTTGCCTCATAATGCATATATAATTTGCATCGGTGCCATGTGCTACCCTCTAAATAAATGAATTATGGTTGGTACAAGTACAAAACTTTATAACAATGCAGTAGCACCATGTGCAGTAGCATCATGGGTATATATCCAGTTATTTAATCCGATGTGAGTTTGTTCTTAATGGTGGTTGTGGCCATTTCAGATTTGTGTTCGACGAGTGGACCGTGGATCCAATCTTTTTCACATGTTCTTTCTTTATGATTCCCCTTAAAGGAGTTGACCTTGCACAACCGTTTCACATGAGGCCACTCTCCCCTTACATTTTTTTCTTCCTTGAACTCGCATGCTTAAAATCATAAAAATAGGAAGACGTATAGGTTGTGGGTTTACTTTCTTATGGACCCACCCACCTCTTTCAAGTCCTATTCTTTTTCTTTTTTACATCCAGCTTCTACATGTGCCTCATTAAAATCAGATATACCACATTCTCAGTAAAATCAAACCTCCTAAGTTGCACTTGAACGATTTCGTAAATAAACGTTTTCAAAATTTTAAATCATTAAAATGAAAGAATGAAAATTCCTCCACGACATGTCAACTCTAATTGGTCAAGAAACTCTTAACTGAGAGAAAGAACCCCTTTGGTAAATAATATTGTCTGTATAAAAAGGTTCATCATCAAATTTTTATATGCACCAATATATATATATATAAAGAGAGAGAGAGATGTACCTGTTAGTAGTATGCTCTAAGACCAATCATATAGATGATGTATTAGAGTAGTACCAGTTAGGAAGTCTTTAGAATAAATAGTAATACTATTTGGACCTAAATGTATATTTTGGTTAGGTACACCGAACGCCTTTGATACACGAAATTACTTTTTGCAATTCACCTTCAGGACTCTTATCAATGTGTATGGAAAAGATAAGAGGCTAGACAACATATTTCTTCTACCACGCATGACATCTTTTACAATGCATGCTTGTGTCAATTGAATTTGTCAACACTTTCATAATTTTACCAATGTGAGAGCTGACTTTATTAATGACCTTATTGATTAATTACATTTTTTATTTTCTAAAGAGTTGTTACATCGTTTGCACTTCCTTTCATATAATCAACCCAATATGTAAAAAAAGATGAATTAAATACTTGCTACCTGTCTTTTTGATCTTATTTGCATATAAAGTGTGCTTACTCTCAAAATCAGGCTCATAGCCTCATAGTTCCTAATTCGATAGCATTACTACCGTACCAAACAATCAAACTAGGAAGGAAGTAGAGAAATGATCCATTTGGGAGTGACAAAGGCGGAAAGAGAAAAAAATTGATTACAAATCACGTAATGCTATTCAAACAAAAAAAATTAATTTAATTTGTTGACTTAATGATGTACATGTGCCTTATTAATATCAGATCCTACCAAGTTCCACCCCTACGATTTCGTAAATACACGTTTTCGTGTATGATCTTCAAAGAGTTCGATCATTAAAATCAAAGACTAGAAATTCCTCCACATGCAGCATGTGGACTCTAATTGATCAAGAAACTCAAACTGAGAGAAAGAACAACTTTGATAAATAATATTGCCTGTATAAAGAGGTTCATCGGCAAATTATTATATGCACCAATATATATATATACTAGTTATTATCCGTACTTGAAAACATGAAGTAATAAAAAAAATAATCAAAATATTTGTATTCATACCCAAATCAAATCACAAAATATATAAAAAGATAAAAAAAAAATTTAAGTACCAATTGTAGTGAGAGTGAGCGATGGTAGTGGTGGTGGACGACAGTGGTGATGATGGAAGACGGTGATAATTGTGGTGGGTAAGGCGACGACAATGATGATTGTAACAGTCGTGGGTGACAATGATGATGGTGGTGGTGGTTGTGGGGTGGTTGGTATGGTCGGGTGGCGAGAGTGATGGTGGTGGTGGTGGGGGGGGGGTGTGTGGGTTGTGGTGGTAGAGGTAGTGTTGAGCCGATTTCAAATACTATTTTTTTTAAAAAATACTTATGAGAAATAATTTTAGAAGTAATTTCAAAAAGTCATTCCAAACACACCCTTAGAGGTCTTATTTTTCTATTAAATTTGGGGTGTTAATATTAGCTGTTAAATTAATTTTAAAATAAAATTTAAAGCGATTTTAACCGCGAATAGCAAAAGTTATTTTGTTTATTTTTTGAGATTTGAATTGTATTGTCAATTAGTGTATCTATATATATATATATATATAGAGAGAGAGAGAGATATGAAACTATGACAAATTGTCCGAGAAATCGTTTGACCATCGTTGGTTTCGTTGTTAGTGTCGGTTTTAATTCTTGGACTGTAGAGAGATGGAGAGGTAAGTGTTAATTGAAAAGAGAACAAAAAAAAAAAATAAAGTAATATTATGTTGACCAAATTTTTGAATCAAAGTAAGAATTCAAATGACATGACACAAAATAAAGAAACCAAAATTAGCGGCCATGTCATTTAGGTTCTTAATTTGATCAGCGTAACATTACTGAAGAAAAAAATGTTAGTTGAAAAAATTGATGATGTGGCCTTGCCACATCATTAGCTCAATATTTTATAGTACATAATTATGTCCTAAAAATATTACTCATAGATATATATTTAGCATAGATACACCAAACACCTTTGAGACACATGAAATTACTCTTTGCAATCCGTAAGGATGACTCCCGAAAAGTTAGAATGGGTTTAAATTGATTTTAAAAAACAAACAAAATTGGCAAATAAGTCATAGCTGATAACCATTCATTGAAAATGTTTAATATTTTATTAGTGATATACGTCACATGACAATATCACGTGGTATGTTAAATCCACACGAAATTTACTCCTATGATTCTTATCAATGTGTGGAAAAGACAAGAGGCTAGGTAACATGTTTCCTTGACCAATCATGCATGTGCAATCAATTCAATTCAAAGATTTAATCCAGGGTTACATATCACAATGTTATTTAGACATAAAAGTTTGATCTGATTTATTGACTTAATAATGTACTTTTATGGTAATTATTGGATTAATACTAAATTTAAATATTTAACGGAATGTACAATCAATTCAATGATTATAATGAATTAAGTGAACAAAATAGGTCATTAACATTGCTCCATCGTTTACAAACATATTAGATTAATGAATTCCACTTAATACATAATCAGTGGGTGAGAGGTGATTATTAGTGTTCATTAGACTAGTAGATTCACTAATCTTGATTGATATTTTATAATTAATCGATTATATCACCCTTGCATTAGGATCTATATGGTGATGCTGCCTACTAATACACTAATATAGTAATTTTTCTGCACTTGTGGAATCAACTTGAGATTTTATAGTGGAAAATGGCAAGCCACCAACTTGAGATTTTATATATATGTGTGTATGAAATTTCAAAATTCAAATGAAACATAAATATCGAAAAGAATCTTGAAAGTTTCACATCCAATATTTACATATTGGAAATATAAATGTTATCAATTAAGTATGCACTATTTATGGTAAGATTAATTATG